TCTTTCTTTCTTTCTTTCTTTCTTTCTTTCTTTCTTTCTTTCTCTCTCTCTCTCTCTCTCTCTCTCTCTTTCTTTCTTTCTTTCTTTCTTATATATTGTATTTGTTCTATTTCTTTCTGTAAAACTTGTCAAGATAAAGAAAGCTTTTTTTTTTTAAATCACTACACAGTTTTTGATAGCCTGACACACACACTCTCTCTCTCACACACACAGGCACATAGAAACACACACTCACACCCTGGAAGCTGCTGGATTAAAGTCTGTTCAGGCACATCTTTGTCAGTCTTCAGTTAAGAAAACACTGCAGATGCGCTAACTTTAATGAGTCAACGGTTTATAGCTGGCACAGCAGCTTGAAAAAAGATGGGCTGCTTTAATCAGTAGGTTGTGCAATATCCAAAGCTCTTCTTTCTGATCATTTTGAAACCCTAACAATTATGCCTTTGCACCTCATTATCAAAGCTCTCGAAGCAGCTGAGCCATGATCAGCAAAAAATATAAATGGGCAGCACATTCCACACTATCTTCCTCCCAAATACATTTTCTTCTCTTTCTTCCTCCCTGTTTCCTGCTCTATGAACTTCAGAAAGTTCAGTGTCAAACATTTAAACATCATGGTACAATTCCCCTTCTCCTCTTTAACTGTTACAAAACATGGAGAGGTTGACAAGGGCATTGCTAGCTGATCTTGGTAGTTTCCATTCAAAGGGGTTTTGGACTTGCCAGGACTATGCAAAATGACTATAAAGCACTTTCTCCTTGTGGGGAGGAAATAAAACAACTTGGAAAATGTCTTAGTTCCTGTTTTTTCTCCCTCCCAACAGCTTCTGTTTCAACATCTTGAACTAGTTACATGCACACAGCTGAGAGTCAGTGCCAAGGTCTGCTAAGAATGAGATAGTCCTCTCTGGTATGTGATTACAATTTTCAAGCCTTGCCCAGTTTTATTGACAAAGTTCCTTGACTCTTGCTTCATTTCACTTCCGCCCTCGGCTTTCTGCTTCACACAACCCCAGCCCGCCACAGCTAGGCTCTCTTGCAGAGCTTTCATCTCCCATAACCAGCAGAGGGCAGAGAGATGTAGTTTCTGAGATCATTCAGTTCATTAAAGAAAAGTAGCTTCTTCCTGCTCCAGCTGGAGATGTAAAAAGTAACAGGTAGACCTGTGAAGATCTTTGAAGGGATGCTTTACGTCACTGGGCCTTCAGTTAGAGAGCGGCTTTGAAGCAGAACCAGGAAGCAAAGAGATTTCTTCATCAGAACAGATTCACAGTATTTTTGGAGCAGGTTCAATAGGTAATCTGTTTTCTTTGTTATCAAAGCAATTTGGCTGATCAAGGCAACCAGCTTCATTAGAGCAATTGTATTAATTAGATTGCTCTGAAAGGGCAGGATGATTGACTTCATGGGACAGTTTCTTTCCAAAACTAAGCTCAATAAAATCGGCCCATTTCTAATAAGTCCCAGTTATCAATATTCCTTTCGTACTCCTTAGAATTAGCATCCAAACCTGCCATTCTTACAGTCAACTATGATGTTTGATTTAGGATTTATTTATACAATATTTATGCCCTGTCTCAGTCCTAATAGACTTTGGGCACAGAACAACAGAGTCTAGTTAAAAAAAAAAATTGAAAACGATTTGGTGAGACAATCTTCTGTTTTATCCTAATATTATGGGAAACTTTGGGGAGGTGTATGTATGCAGTGTAATCAGAGGGAGCAGGGGTATTCATGGGGAAGGTCAAAATCATCAGAATAGCAGCTGTGGCCATGTGATTGAAGACCCACCCTCTGTTTACATGTATTGGGTGCACAACACATGTTTAAAAAAGGCTTCAATTGCATGGTTGTGGCTACAGTCTTGACTAGTTTTACATCCCTGAGACTGAGCACTGAGGGTCACAAAACAGAACCACCTTGTCCCCCTGGATTTAATTGGGCAAATATGATGTCTTTTATCCACAGACAAATAACTCATGTAAAGTATGGCAAAGCCTGCTGAATAAATTATAGTTGGATTCACTGCTCTTTATATATTTGTTCCCAACAGCAGCTGACAGAGGAAAGCTTCCTCTTCAAGGTGAAAAAGACACCTGGTACAGAGGAAGACAGATCCAGTTATTGATCAATAGTTTGGTCAGTGCCCTATTTAGAAATGACCAAGAACTTTTAAACGCTACCTGCTCTACCAATGAGCTACAAGCTTCTGACTGGAAGCATCATGTTTTGAAGGTATATTTATTTATTTTATATTCCAAATTTAGATACCGCTCATCTCACAAAAAGTGACTCTGGGCAGTTCACAATATCCCCACTCCTGACTTATACATGTAGCAGACGAGAGCAATATGGTGAAAAAATCTTGCAGAGAACAGAGTATCGCATGTTGCCATCTTCCTAAATGCAGAGTGATATCATTTCTTCTGGCGTGCCTTGGTCTCTCATCTCAGCAGTAAATGTTTATGGCCCAGGAACACCCTTGTTCCATCTTCTTCTCTCAGTTCTGGTGGCAGACTAAGCCTTCAACTGAAGTTTGGGTGAGATAAGGGATTTGGCTCACTATCATGCTAAATTTTTTACAAGTGATGCGGAACCAATTCAAAGGGCTGCTCTTCCTACCCCATCTTGCCCCTCTTCCATTCCTTTCTACATGTAAAACAGATATTCCTTGGAAATCAGAAAACTAGCATGGCAGGTCTGGACTTAGATTAAAACCTGTTGCTCTGAGGAGGTGGGCTTTATTTCCACCTTGCAGGAAGTTTGGCATGTAAGAGAACAATGGAAGAAGAAGGAAAAAAACAGTCTGTAATGGTTCTGTCTACCCTACCAGCTAATCCTCTGCTGCTTGGAGCTGATCATGTAGCTGACTGAAATGGGGAGGAAAGGGACAGTGGACTACTTAGGTCTTCGGCAGAGGGTCACACCTTTTAAAAATATTGCAAGTAAGAAGAACTAGCAGAAGCAGTAATTTATCATCTTTCTTCCTGATATGTCATATATGTGTGTGTGTAGGTACATAGAAGAGCCAGTTTACTCAGTTAAGGTGCTGGATTATAGCAGAAACCATCTTAGCCCAAGGGAATCCGCTGGGTCCCTTTGGACCAGTCCCTCTCTGCCAACCTTAGGAAGAGAAAACCACTTTCAAAAATCTTGCCAAGGAAACTGCAAGCGCTTGTCAATAGCATCTCCAATTGGCAACCAGAATCTTATCTCAAGTAACATCTCAAGGTTTAACCACCTACATTTGCTGAGTATTAGAATAAGCCACAGCTACTCATTTTGCAGTTTGGGGAACATATTTTGGTCATAGAAGAGCTATAGTTCTGGCCCATGTGAGCTGCCCAGTGTTGCTTAAGACAAATCAGATAGATAGATAGATAGATAGATAGATAGATAGATAGATAGATAGATAGATAGATAGATTTTAATTTCTCCTGATGGAGGCATGAAAGTCTGCAGGGAGGCAATGGGGCAAGTGGCATTGCAGGTCTCATGATGTCATTGCACAAATGATGTCATGCCACCTGTGACATCATTGTGGCTTCTACTGTACCCCAATCCTCTTCAGTTGTTTCTCCAGTGTCGCCTTCCTTTTAAAAAGGCATCATTCTCTCCATACCCATCCTTAATGCAAAGAATTAGCCCGCTTTATTATTCTTTAAATTCAGAGGGAAAGAAAATGAACAAACAGTAAGCAATTTAATTCCCATTTAAATGTCTGTAAATCAGTAACTCTAACTGAACGCTGCTGTTGAGGAGGAAGTAAAAACCTGTGGGCTGGGAAATCACATATAAGATATAGAACAGGATGCAAAGAGAAAAAATGAGAAAGATAAGCGTTTTCAATGAATCTGAAACATTTATAGGTACAATATTTACTTGAAAGTTAAAAATAGTAAAGTTACCTCCAAGACATGTCATGAAGTAACAGCTGAGGAACTGTGTTGGGAACAGGAACAATGATGATATCATCTGTAGAAGTGTAAAGGCTCTCTTTCTGATGGGAAATAAATGAGGTGATAATGAGGCTTTTAAGTTTGCGAGAAATTAGAAAACTAGGACGTCAGAGAAAGAAGAAAACAATGAAAGCTAGAAAGTGGAGACTTATTTCCTTTTCTTTGATGGCGTTCCAACTTCCTCTAGCAATTTGGAATTTATAATTTGAAAGCTTGTCTGGAGTTCTAATGCAAATTAGAAGGTTAGGGACAGATCATCATGGAGAAAATCTGTCTATGTTGTCGCTAGGAGTCAAAAACAACTTGATGGCACATAATCAATCAATCAATCAATCACAGTTTAGGTCCTCTTCAAATAAATTAATAGTGGTATAGTCAGCTTGGCAATGCTCAGAAACTCTTCATTTAAGCAGGTATGGCATTGGGGGCATCAGTGTTACTCTGAGAACCCATCAGGCGTTCTGTCCTACCAACTTTTAATAGATTGAAAAACAACAATAAAAAGCTGCCATATTGCAGAATATAGCGTTCTCCTCCAGTTTTTTATTCCCAAGCATATATACAGGTTACAAAAGCTCCTTCAGAATAAAAAAACGATGGTCAGTTGCAACTCAGGGCTGTCTCCAAAAATGTGTCCATCTGCTCAGAAAGAGGACAAACATAGACAATAACGTTAGAGGGTGTGCTGCAGAAGGGGATGCTAGAGATGGTTGCAAATAGCATTCCAGGAAATGAGTGCTTTGTAACTGGTTATGCCCTTTGAACAGTCACTCATGCCCTTATTATCTCCCAGATAGACTACTGCAATGCACTCTATATGGGGCTACCCTTGAAGAG